CAATGAGGACGGGAATTTATTAAAATTAACAAAATGTTTAATGTTGGAGAAGTTGTTGAATGTACTGTAGGAGACTGTATTGAGAAAGGACAGTATCATGGCTCATTAACAGGTAATTAATATTCATTGATTAATTAACATTATTTTTTCATTAAAGTCTTATAAATTTGAGGTTATTGATTAATTTGATAGGTAGTTTACCAGTTATTAATATTGGTGATACTGTGTGTGGGCGTGTTACTGATGTTCAGTACAGTGGGTTGGTCCTATCAGTCAATCATTATTTGAATGGAATAGTCCACCTCACTAACATTAGCGATTATTATGTACCACGCCCACTCCAGTACTTTAACATTGGAGACAAACTCAGGTATATTTATTATTATTATTATTATTTTAATTTTATGTTCATTTTCTATAGTTGTGTTGTAATTGGTAAAACCTCAAAGCAGTTCAATGTCTCACTTCGTAAAAGTCACACTGGAATTGACATACCAATTCTACCAGCCCAACCTGATGGTTCTGAACCAGATAAAGAAATCAATAGTATCGCTGATCTGCAAGAAGTGGGTGTGGTCAGGGGTTATGTATCGTCTGTTACCAAATATGGTATATTTGTTAAACTTGGTCCTGACGTCGTTGGTAGAGTTATGCTTAAAAACCTCTCCGATCAATATGTTCAGAATTACGAGTCTTGTGTCAATGTAGGAGATCTAGTTAGGGCTAAAGTAGTAGAGTAAGTGGGTGTGGTTTTGTTTCCGTGGTAATCGATTTTTAGGATCGATAACGGTCGGATTGAGTTGTCTCTTAGACTCTCAGATATTGATGAGTCAGCAGGTTTGAGGTATAAGAAGTTGAAGGAGTTGCAACGAAAGGGAAGGAAAAGAAGAAAAAATATGCCATCAGAATCAACGTAATTTATAGTTGTTGTTGTTTATTATTGTTTGTTGTTGTTTTAGTGAGGAGGAGGAAGAAGAAGAACTAGTGGAAATGTCAGAAGGTGAAAGTGACACAATGGATCAACAAGAGATTGAAGAGAAGGAGAGCGTGCTTGATGATACAAAGAGACTTAAGAAGAAAAGAAAACTAGAAGATAAAGAAGAGGATAGCTGCAGCATGACTCCATTACCAGTGACTGGCGGTTGGGACTATAACCCATCCAACGACACCATTGAAGAGAGAGATGATGAAGATACTAATGAAGTATAATTAATTATCATCCATTACTTATTATAATTTTAATTTATTTTTGTAGGTTATTAGCAAAAAGAAGAGTAAGAGACAGAAGAAGGCCATTAAGAAAGCAGAAGAGCTACAGCTTTATAAAGTATATAATGTTTAATAAACTATTAATAATATCAATTAATATTAATAGAGGGAGCATTCATTAATGGATACCAGCAGGTTACCGCAATCAGCTGATGATTTTGACCGGCTATTAGTAGCTAATCCAAACAGGTTAATTAACCATTATTAATGTTAATCAATTAACTATTATTAATGTTACCTTTTCTCACAGCTCTTCACTATGGTTACAGTACATGGCGTTTTATCTTCATACAGCTGAAGTGGACAAGGCCAGAGCTACAGCCGAGAGAGGACTAGCGGCAATATCATTTAGGTAGCCATTACTTTGTATCACTTAAATATTTTATACTCCTCTCTCTCTCTCTCTCTC